GGTTTTTGGTCAATAAACCAAACCCTTTTAAGGTGGCTTTAGTGACAAGCCACCATACATACTTTACTGAGATCATCTGGCTGTACCCAGCCAGCCTCTCACTCATAACTGCAGGCATGAGTATCATTTATCTGACCCTGAAGCCTAGTGTCTGGGGCTTTGGGGGCCAGTGGATGGTGGATTCCATTTGTTCCTGAAGTCACTTGTACTGTCTTGAGTCTTAGTAAGTACCTCTATGTGTCTTCCTCCCATTGATATTTCCCCCAAGATCTCTGACAGGCTCCCTGCTCTTGGCTGAGTGTGGAGATGGAGTTTTGGGCCTTGGAGTGTGTACTCATTTGTTTGGCTACTGTAACAAATTACTGCAAACTTGGTGGGTGGCCTAAAACAACAGAAATTTACTCCCTCTTAGTCTAGAGGCCAGAAATCTGAAATCAAGGTATCAGCAGGGCCTTGTTCCCCACAAAGGCTCTTGGGGAGAATCCTTGTGTGTCTCTTTCAGCTTCTGATGGCTCTAGGCATTCTTTTCTCTGCCTCCATCTTCATGTGGCCTCTTTTCCCTGGGTGTCTTTACTTTGTGTATCTCTTATAAGGATCCTTACTGTTGGATGTGGAGCCCACCTGGGTAGTCTAGGATGGTGATCTCATCTTGAGATATGTATCTTAAATGTATTTGCTATTTCAGCTCCTTTGTGAATAAACAACAAATACCTTAGACAGGATCATTTATAAACATCAGAAATTTATTTCTCATGATTGTGGAGACTGAGAAATCTAAGATCAAGGCACTGGAGGTTTTGGTGTCTGGTGGAGAAGGTTAGCTCTCTCCTTTCATGATGGTGCCTTGTTGTTGTGTCTTCAACAAGGCAGTAGGTTGGAAAGGCAAAAGGGACTATTTCCCTCCAGCCGTTTCATAAAGACATTAATCTCATTCGCGAGGGTGACGGATCACTTCCCAAAAGGTGATCCCATGCCATCACCTTAGTGTTTTAAGTTCTAACATATGAATTTTGCAGGGACAAATTAAACCTTAGCATCTGACAAGACCTTTATTCCAAAGAAGGTAACATTCAGAGGCTTTTGAATGGACACATCTTTTAGTCCGTTACAGGGTTTGGGTTGCCTTCCCCTGGGAGCTCCTGGTGGGAGCTTGGTGAAGCCCCAAGCCCTGCCAACACCTGCTCCTCCTTGTGTAGTTGGATGTCAAGTGTGTATGGGGCAGGGGATTGCAGGGCCAGGAGGAACTGACCCAGTGTGGCTATAGCTCACACCAACAGCTCCTCTCCCTCCTTGCCACCACAGAACCCAGTATGAAAGGAGCCCACAGGTAGGTGCTTAATAAACAATGATGAATCGTCATTGATTGATCCACTTTGAGATTATGGTGATGAACCAAAAAGTCCAGTATCTTTTTTTTTTTTTTT